AGACAGACAGACAGACAGACAGACAGACAGACAGACAGACAGACAGACAGACAGAGAAGTGGAGACTGATGATCAGAAGGCAGGCAGACAGACAGACAGAGAAGACGAGAGTGATAGACAGCTGCATTTAATACATGTAAATAATGATATCCCATGAAGATAATCAAGCCCTTCTTGTCTTCCCCCTTTCTTAAATACTCGTAAGACACCAAACGACATCACAGCACACCCACCTTAAGCATCTTGTTCATCCCTTTGTCTTTAATTTCTTTCTTCTGTGCCTCATTCAAATTCTGACCCACAGAGGAAACAACGACGTAATGCTTGAAGGTCTGGGCGAGCTTGGCCTTACTGGAAGCCATCTTTGTTGGTTAGAGCTGAAATACAACAAAGACGAAGAAAATTGTTGGAGTTTTCATTTTGGTGTTCATGTTTTTGTTTTTTGTTGTTTGTTCGTTTTGTTGGGGTGTTTTGTTTTGTTTGTTCGTTTGTTTGCTTTTTGGGTGTTGTTGTTGTTGTTGTTGTTGTTTTTTTTGGGGGGGGGCTTGCTTTCTTTTCTCTGAAAATGTGCAAAACTGTACCGGTTTAACACCCCTTGCCACACGATAAGGTTATTTAAGATGCAGAATCTCCACCGAATGGACCGAGCTTAGTGGGACAATTCGTTTAAAGTGCCTTTCGCAAGGACACAGCATCGTACAGAACTGAGCCTTAGAACTTCTGAACCCGCAATCTCAGTCTGACGATTAAGGGTCCGGTAGCCTCTCCACTACACTACCAACACTTATTTATTCTCTTGGTTTTGTATTTGTTGCTTTTATAATTATGATGTCTCTGTAAGTCCGGACTGAATCACGTGTGCGTAGGTATTTGACTTGGAGACTGCCTTGACCGGGTGTCTCTAAAAAGAAGTAGGGCGCATTTAAAGGACTATTGCTTGATCATTTTTGAACCAATTTCAAAATCAAAACTTGTAACAAATAAAATTCAAATATATGAGGCGTCACATTTATTGTTAATATGAAGAATAATTTATATTGCATGCTTCATGGTTTGGCCATTTCTCTCCAAACAAGCTCTAATACGTCACTGGACATTTTTAATAAACTCGTGGCACACTTCTGTGTTGATCAAGGACCTTAAAACTAACAACCTTACTGTATAACCTCCTTGGTGGCGATTCATTGTGCGTCTTATTCAACTCTGAATTTCAACTGTTCGTTTGTTTGTGGATTGTTTCTATAGACTCTGTCAAAAAAAAAAACACCTTTGGAAATGATTGAGGGGGTTTAGTCGGGGGAAAGCAGTGACCATTCATTTGTAATCTTTCAGCTTATAAAGCGTTCCCCAAACTTTTCTTGTAACAAGACAACAACAAGGATAACTCAACAATCCCTCACCCTCCCATTTTCTTTTAAACAACACCCCCCACCCTCTCATTCTAGTAAGTTTTAGGCTGGCTCATAGCTCCCAAGGAGTCTAAAAATTACTTCAAGTATTGCGTGACCTGCCGAAAGTGTGGTGTAAAATAAATCCAACGATCACACCGTAGAACGGTTGTTTGTAATGCCTACACCCCATTGAGAACAGACGATTTATTGTAGTTACAAATCTGTTCTGTAAAAAGTTATTCTGAATTTATCCGACAAAGGTTTCAATTCAACCATAAAAAGCTCATTTCTTTGATCGGATTCTTCACATGCCAGCTCAGTAATACAGGAACAGCAAATTACACATAGTAGTATCTTATTACCCCTAATCCAACAAAATAAAGTGCCTGCAGATCAAAAGATTAATAGGGTATTGCAGTGCTAGTTCATTAGGCAAGTTTTTCCTCCCCCTACTTGTTCTTGACGTCACAGC